CTTTTATACAATCTGCTTGTTCAACCTCACGTCTCACACATCCGGTTGCCTTCAGTTTTTAAGTCTTTTCTGCATTGTTGAGCTAAAGCACAATGATGAAGCTGTTCATCTCTACAATTTCCATATAGGAAGTGGGGATTAGGAAATTGTCTTGGATCTGAATGACCAGCCCTAGGGGAGGCTGTTCTCTGATGCACAGGGCAATTCCCAGTGAGAGGTTTACAGAGTATTGGAGCTTTATAGTATAAACAATGGAGATCTACTAAAATATTTTTCAATAGGGAATGGACATGATACAATTTGTATGTTAGAAAGATCTCCTAGGGAGCAGCGTAAGAGTTGACACAAAAGGATGAGAATGCATGCAGCGAGACCAGTCGGGAGGCTGTGGCAATCATATACAATACATAAGATGAAGATCTGAAGTAAAGACGTTGAAGTGGAAGCCTAGATTACTAGGAGGTGGAATCCACACAAGGCAGGGATTTACTGGATAATACAGATGAATTGCAGAGAGGAGCCAAAGAGAGCTCTCAGGATTATGGTTATAGACTGTATTAGTCCATTTTGTGTTGCTATAATAGAATACCTGAGACTGCATAATTTATAAAGAACAGAGGTTTATTTAGCTTACGATTCTGGGATAGCTGCATCTGGCATAGGCCTCAGGCTGCTTCTATTCATGGTGGAAAGCCACAGGCAGCCGCTGGGTACAAGCAGATCACATGGTGAGAGGAAGCAAGAGAGAGAGAGGAGGTGCCAGGGCCTTTTAAACAACCAGCTCTCATGGGAACTAATAGAGCAAAAACTCACACATTAATCCCCTAGGGAAAGCATTAATCCATTCATGAGGGATCCACCCTCATGACTCAAACAGCTTCCAACACTGCCATATTGGCGATCAAATTTCCTCATGAGTTTTGGTGGGGACAACACATCCAAACCCTATCGTAGACAATAGGTAAAAATGATGTAATTAACAAAAATTGGGAATCTAGAAAGAGAATCTGGTGTTATGTGGATTCAGGTTGAAACCACAGTGATGTCAGGAGGATAATAAAGGTCACAAATGTCATCTGACAAGTGATCCAGGACCCACTGTAGCACCTGCATCTTTTATTGACTCATAGATCTGTTGTTCATGTTGTGCAACATTTTCAGTTAATTTATTTGTTCCATAAATACATGACAAATATATAATATGGGTTGGCTATTGTTTTAGATGATGGCAGAAAAGGTACGAAAGCCTAAGCTTTATTTGGTAAACTAAGAATAGTAAAGCAACCGATGGGATCTTTCACAATATTCTTTTAACCAAAGTGAAGAAACAGACTGATACCAAACAATTCAGTACACTGGTAAGTCATTAGATTTTCTATTTAATATGTGCTGATTAAGAGACTGCTGTCATATCGAAGAGAGGTCACATCTAAGCCTGGTCGGCAACCTAATTCTTTTCAACTATGACATCAATTATTTGGAGAAAGATACAGAAGGTGTGCTCATCATATTTACCTTTGGAAGAGTGAGAAAAATATGAAATCAGTATGCATAGATGATTTTTACTGTCTAGAGAAAAAAGCCAAGCTTAGATAAAATTTAATAAAGATATATATCAATTTGTGTTTGGGGAAAAACACAGTGGTACAGGCACACAGTTGGGCCAATGGGGTAGTCAAAAAGCTAATATGATCTTTAGTTTTTTTAGTAGAAATATAGTATATAAAACAAGAATGCTGAAAGTACTGATCTATTCCACACACATTAAACCACACCTACTTTAATGGTCTCAGTTGCATATCATCATACCTTACAAAAGGCATCCACTCCAGACAAAGCAAGAACACTTAGGAAATCAGGGTATTGAAGGTTGACGTTGTAATACACAGGGAAGAGGAGAAGGAAATGGGAATGTTTACCTTTAAGAACTGTGGAATTATTTGGGGAGTATGTGGACAGCTAGTGGGACTGGGGAACACACTATTATGTCTGCAGATATTGGAATCATGGCTAATGGCTGGGATATTATTTCAAATGGCTTCTTGGATTAGAAGTGGGACCAAGGAGTGAAAATTTCAGAGCAGCTCTAGGAAAAGGATGTGTTCCTCTTAATTTTGTTTTCTTACCAAATCTACCTAATTACTTGGCAGGTATGTTGTATGTTGTCAACATATTTCATTTTGAACTAGATGACCTATAAAAAAATCCCTTGCATCCTGAAATTCTATGATTTTGTGACATGAGGAACTAATGGCTACTTTTTAGAACTAAGATGTTTTCAATTTCTTAGAGGTTTGTTCCAGACACACAGGGTCCCCTCAGGCACCCTTCATTGTGTGTCCAACCCATAGCTTTATCCACAGAACTGGCATGGAGTCTTCACAGTCAGGTGAAGTGAGAAACTCAGGGCCTTTCATGCAGCATATTTCTAAGTCATTTAATACTTTGGAAAAAAAAAATCAAAGTTTGGTAAAGGAGTAAATTTAAAATTATCTTTTTATTTTGAAAGTTTCTGTAGATCCAGGACTTTGTATTGAGTTGCCACGTCAGCCACAATCTAACTATTTCAACTTACTGGGCATATATCTTCTGAGTCACAGAAATATAATGATCTGAACATTTAAATTCTTTCAGTCACCTAGTACATATTCTTTTCACTTCATAGATGCACACTCTTAAGGATAATATTGCTCACTGAATACTACAGTATATGAGAATTCTGCAGGTTAAAACAAATCATTTTAATCCATGAAAGAAATGTTCAAACATCAGCTCCCTATTTTTTAATGATTCTTTTTCCCCTCAGAAAATATGCAAAAAAGTAAATGATACATGACTCATTTATTAAAACTCCCATGTTTTCATTGCAAATTCCTAGTCAGGCTTTGGAATTAAGGCTTCCCTTCTACTATTCCCATATTATCTGAGTCACCAAGTCTTCTAGATGTTGGCAGGAGAGCCTGTTCCTATGTCCAGATGTTGTGCTGGGAGTGAGTAGAGGTACCACTCTTAGATCCAGGCCCCCTTAGCCTCAGCCCTGGGCCCTGTGCTTTGCAAGTCTTCTTAAATTATGATGTGCAAATAGGTGTCTTAAGATATCCTGTGATTCAATATAGCTGGGATTGGGGCCTGAGAACTTGCATTTCTAATAAGTTCCAGGTGATGCTGATGCTGCTGGCTTATGAATCAGAACCACTGATTTAGTAACTCCCATTCTGTCTCTCCTTTAGGCAGACCCCTCCCCATAGACGAGCAGTTCATTTGACTCATGGAATCTGCCAGCGGAAAGCTTGTGTTCTTCTTTGTAAACCACACTCTGGGTACCCAAGACCCCAGAATTCCCTGCCTAGACATCCTCCAATACCACTCCCAGGAGTGTGCACACCTGTCCCAGTCTGTTCTCCTGATGGAAGACCCCTCCACCAGTATGTACACATCTGGATCTAAGGGTTGGCAAGGGGTTAGCTGTTTGGAGGAGGTTTAGCAGTGCACAATGGAGGGATATGGAGATGTGCCTCTCCGTAGTATAGCCCCTCCTAGCATAGGTGGAGACTGGGGTAGACATAGAAAAGGGAGGGGCTGTGATCAGAGGACATTCATGTCCCTTTTTCTCCAGTAGGCAGATGTTGGGGTGGTCTTGCTCTTATGTCTACTCACGTAAATGACAGGGAGAAATCCTACCCTGTTATAGCTCATCCCTGACCTTAAGGCCACAGAACCACAGATGATTCTTGGATGGTTCCATTTTATGAGAAATCATTGCATCTGAAGGGCTCTTAGGGTGAAGGAAGAACGTTTTCTTCCCTTTGTATAACCCTCTACACACTCTTCCCAGATGACTGCACAGTGTAGGGGACAGTGTGTGCGCTTTGGGTTACTGTGGATTTCAGCTGAAATCCCACTTTAATTCTCTGTGTGAATTTGAGCAAGTCAGTTGACCTCTTTACTTTCAGTTTCTTTATCCTTAATGTGGGAATAAGAATGCCTCCCAAACCCCACCCAGTTCAATTCTATTCTTTTTTCAGCCTTTAGCTCCCGTGTCACCATCTTGGATCAGATCAGGTGTCTGTATCTAATCGGGAAGTAACTTTTTATTGTGCGCTCACAACCATTTGTCAATTTGTACTTGTGTTTTTGTTTTCATCAATGTCTTTCTAGCCCGTGGGACTCTGAGAGAGCAGGGATTGGCACATAATAGGTACTTAATAAGTGACACTGATTATTTTTCAGTGCAATGTACTCTATAAATAGACACTTTATTTTGTTTCCTCACACTTGATACATGGGAGGAGAATGGGGTGGATTTGGGACAACTACAATGTGAACTGTCCAAGTCAAGAAAAAATGTGATATGATAAACTACTGGCCTGAACAACTGAAAGCATGACAGGCTTTTCAAAGACTTAAGAAAGAAAATACCCACTATTTAAAACAAAGGATAATAACTACAAGAAAAAGTTGTATTTGACAAGTTTTGCTTGTCCCCCAGTAACTCATACCCCAAATGGTGCATCTTCTTACAAAGCATGCAGTGAAAGTAATTCACGCTGTCACCGGCCTCGCCCCTCCCCTGCACAACGTGCAGATTATTTTAACGGGCCCTTTTAATCCAAATATTCTCCTGTCAAATATTTCTGGGGCTTGTACTTGAAGAAAGAAACGATTTTCTCAATTCTGTGAACAGGACATTTCTTTTTTTTTTCCTTTTTTTTTCTTTTTATGTCAAAATAAACCATCTGCTTGTACAACTGTTTCTAATTACTTCCCTGCCTAGACTCTCCACTCGAGGGGTTTGGCACGGCACCCCGCCCAGAGCCGTGCCGCTGCCCAGATCCTCGCAGGCAGCTCATCCACGCGATCGCAACTCCGGGTGGAGCCCCGGACCTGCGAGCCCGGGTGTCCGTGGGTCCGTCTGCCCGGCCATCTGCTGGCGGCCCCGTTGCCTGCTGCCACCTCCCCCGAGAGCCCACCTTGCAGACGTGCAGCTCGGTGCAGCTCGTCGTCTGCACAGCCCGGAGCTCAGCATGCGTCCCCCGGGCGTCAGGAGCTTCTTGCTGCTGGCCTCCTCCCTGCTCTGCGCTGGGCTGTCAGCTGCTCCGCAGAGCTTCTCGCCATCTCTGAGGTAAGGTTGGTTTGTTATTCTTTCAGACAGACCTGCCCTGCTTGATGTGGCAGGGCTCAAGCTTGCAGGGTGGCCGTCCTAAGCCAAGAGAAGTTATTCAGTTGGACGTGGAATAAACTGTTTTCAACCTGTTCCGTTTTCCTTTCCTTATAGCTACACGACGTGTGGCTTCATCTCTGTTCTTCTCTTTTTCCTTCGGAAAAATGCAATCACTGAACAGAAATATCATTTCCTCTTTTGCAAATACACACCAGGAGGAACCTCTGCCACGAGTTAGTGTGTACCTGTGTCCTCGCAGCCTACAGGGCAGTATTGTTTCTGTTTCCCAACAGCATCAACACGGGGTCTGTTTTACATTTTGTTATCACTTTCTGAAAGAGACTTTGAAGTACATCCCAGTAGCTAAACTAAACTTTTTTAAAAGTGGGGTTCGTAAAGGCAGCTTAGTGCAAAATTTAAAAAATTAGGACCGCTGCTATCATAACACGTATCAGTCTTTCCATATATTCATCTTTTCTTTTTCGTAAAGTAACCTCTCCCTGGCCATCAGATAGCAATGGGACATTTTAAAAAGAAGTCAGACAAATGCCATACTTTAGATTAATTTGTATTTAATCTAAATGTGCATATAATATTCAGTGATGAACCGCCAAGGGGCAGGGCTGGGTCACCTCCGTCCAACTGGAAGCAGGTTCTACTCTCAGGTGGGCAGGAGACCCCTTGGACATTTTGGGTCATGGTCATTTCTCAGGCGGATGGTACCTACCTGGCTGAGAAAACACAGCCCTTCCAGAGAGCACTTGGCTCCCAGAGAAATGTGGGGCCTCCGGCTTCCTATCCGTGGGGTTGTACGTCTTCACCTGGGGTGGACCCTGGGGAGGACACGTGGGCTGGGAGCAGCAAGGACAGTGTCTGTATCTGACCCTGGCCTGGCGGTGGTGTTTGTCGCCCCACGCAGGAGCTGGTCGGGCGCCACCTGCAGGCTGTCCCGGGCCGAGTCGGAGCGCCGGTGCCGCGCACCTGGGCAGCCCCCAGGGGGCGCTCTGTGCCACGGCCGGGGCCAGTGCGACTGCGGCGTCTGCATCTGTCACGTGACCGAGCCGGGCACGTACTTCGGGCCCCTGTGTGAGTGCCACGAATGGGTGTGCGAGACCTACGACGGGCACACCTGCGCAGGTAAGGGACAGGCGCCGTCCGCCTCCTGTGGGGTCAGCACGCCCCTGCGGACAGGGGAGCCAAGGGTGGGGACGCACCTCCCTTCAGGTAAACACCAGCAAGTACTGCAGTCCGCCAAGATGTCACTTTTGCTAGTCAGTCTGGCATCGTTGTTCCTTCTCCCTGCGGCCCAAACTTAAATGGAAGTAATATTTGTAAGGTGCATTTACTTAATTCTAAATGCCACTCGCCTCAGTTTAAGTCCTCATTGCAGACTAGATTCCTCAACGTCCTCACGAATGGAGTTATTTTGCTGAGCTCTCTTACCCCCATCAAGAATGTTAATCATAATATTTGCAGATCATAAACCTGTATTTCTTTTTCGCCTAGGAAGCACAGGGGGGTATTATTTTTCTCAGTTCCAGGGGGCAGATTGTGTCTTTGAACTCTGATATGCCCTATCATGCTTAGGGTATGGTTCACAGACAGGAGTGCCTATCAGAAAACTGTAACAAGGAAAAAAGTAAACAGGCACATAGTTACTTGTACTTAGAAGTGATCTTGTATTGTTTTAGCTGCTTGAGTTTCTGAGCTGCAGTGAAACTTGGTATTTTGTGAGGGTGGAGTGAAAAATACATTCATTTCCCTTGCACATTTTTAAGGAATGACTCAGGTTCTGATATTGGGAAGGGTCAAGAAATTCCTTTGTAGAGAACACTCCTAGCCTCTTTACCAGTTTCACGTAAATGTGTCCTTTACTTAAGGCCAAGAGCCTCAATTAGTTCATTGTGAAGGATGCAGGAACTCCATTTGTAAAAGGACAACACAATGCATTCCAGCCAAGGTTTGGCACATTTGTAGGAAAAAAAATAGCGACTTCTTTTACTCTCAATGTACCTAAGACTAAACGTCCAACACTAACACAGCAAGATCAAGAGTGAGTTTATAGCAAAATGTTTTTTTCTTGGCATCTGGGCCCAGGAGTGCACAGTGAGAGTAGTTCATATGCAGGCTGTTTGGCAGTGGAAAAAATAGTCACAGAAGTAATTTGTTGGGGCACAAGTGCGTCCATGTGGTTTGCTTACCCTGAGAAGGCTGTGGTTCAACCCGTTAAAAATACTGAATGCCACAACTTGTCATTTAACTTCGTCAGTTGCAGAAGCTGTGGTACTATGAAGGGTAGCCCTTTGCAGTGAAAGCTAGGCATCGTCTAATGTTTCATTCCAAATTCAGCTGTTAACTGGCTTCTCTGGCTTTTATTGCCTCTGGCAAGGCCTTGTCAATATCTTGAGTTTTGAGCAAAATTTCCAGGGCTTTTTCTTTGTTTCTTTAGAAAAGTAAGAGGTGAGATGCAGCCTTTAACCAGTGACACTAGTTATCAGTGCCATCAGATAAACCCCCCGGTTGAAGAACCTGAGCTGATGATGCCTTTCTGAAAAAATGATGCAGAGGGAACGGTATGGCATATAGTGCTTTTATCCTTTCATAGAAAGGGACTTCTTGCTTCCTCATAGCACCTTCATCACTGAATTCCTTCCTGATAACAAAATGCAGTACTGAATCCTGCCTGCTTTTGTTTGGTTACGTGTGCATTTCTACAGAAGGCGAAGTGCTTCTCTTTATGTCGAGGCTGAACAAAATAATTGTATTCATTTTCTACTCTCACTTGGCTGCCCCATGTCCACTGAGGCCTACTCTACAGGGTCTCCAGCAGAATCTGTCCCTGCAAATGGTCTGGCTATGTTTGCTAGGCCCATGAGGAGAGCCTTACACATAGCACATCGGGCTGCCTTGCCTGCTTGCTGGCTTGTTTGTACTTTAAATTTAGCTTCTCAATTCCATTTTCAAGAAAGAGTCAAATTTTGTAACTAGTAAGATGGAAACATAGTGGATTTTCTATGTTTATATGCATCTGGCCCTTCACCTCCATGGTAAGAACCTGCAGGTTCTTTCCAGAAACGGAATAACTTCCAGAGACTTCCCCAGCTTCCACAAAGAAAACAAAATCCTACTCTGGTAGTATATCATAGAGTGGTTAGGAGTATGGGCTCTAGGGGAAAATTCCTGGAACTCAGATTCCAGCCCCACCACTTAATAGCCGTATAAAGTTGGTCAGTTGCTTAAATATCCTAAGCCTGATTTCTTCATCTGTAAAATGGGAGTAATAACAGTACCTACCTTACAGAATTGTCATAAGATTTAACAAATTTAACACACTTACGATAGTGTTTGACACAAAGTAAGAGCTCAATACATATTAATATGTTTATATGACAAAATATTACTACAGTATGCACAAAAAGGTGGGCTGGTATAAATGGATGGATGGATGGATGGATGGATGGATGAATGAGTAGATAAATAGCGTGGTCTTATGTTTGTTGAGCATTTGGTGCAGTGAGAGCAATTTCATTTTCTTCATGTAGTCTGGGCCTGTTATTGATTCATGGCCCAAAAGGTCACACAAGGATAACTGTTTTGGCCAGCCTCAGAGCAGCTGTATTAAATACACTATGCCCTTTTAAAGTCACATTCATTGGGATTTTTATACTATGAATCATAAGAAACATACTTATTTTAGTTTGAGCTGGTTGAAAGTGATTAGGGTCACACCATCAAAAATCTGTTTCTTCTAGTGTCCTCTTGTCCCTGGCACATGAATCTTCCTCAGATTTCTATAGCATAAAGGCCTGGGCTAATGACTGTTCCTGTGGATGTGATGGTCTGTTACATGGTACACTAATTTTGGTGAAATGTGTCTTTGACAACAGCACAATGTTTGATTGCATGAAAACACAGTTGTGATTTCCAAGGCATCCCTGGGTAACCCCATGAACAGGTATGATTACATTGAAAAAAAATGTTCATTTCTTAAAAATCTTTTAAAATCACTTTTGAAATATGTCACTTAAAAGAGTTTCAGTTTTAGTAATTGGAATGAGCTAATTGAATTCGGTTTAGCACACTTATGAAGTGCTGTATATTTGCTAAGCTCTCTGCTGTTGAAGGGCATATAAAGATAAAGTTGAGGACTGTATGGCAGCTGAAACTGAGTAGGGAGACTGAGAAATATCCAGATATCTATAATGCAATGCAGAATATAATTTCTACACATTTTTATGAGGGTTCTTTTGAGGCAAGGATTAAATATTGTTGTTAAAATTTCTTGAGAAAGAGATAGCACTTGACATAAATCTTTAAGTACAAGGGTACTTCAAAAAGTTCACGAAAAGATTCGTATTATCTTTTAATTCTATTTTCCCATATACTTTTTGAGTAACCTTGTATAGGGAGATTTTTAATCCAAAAAGTGAACTGTGAGAATTTGGAGTGAAGAGAAACTCAAGCAGAGGTTCAAGGGCAGAAAAGCATGTGGGGGTGCGTTTGGGGGATAGTGAGGGGTACAAGGGTCAGCTTGGCTGGGTCTTAGAGCTGTGGGAAAGTGGAAGAAAATATGTTGAGAGTTGTAGTTGAACATATTGTGAAGAGCTTTGAATGTGAATGCAAAGTTTGTGATCAATTAGGACCTATTAAGTGTTTCAGAGGGGAGTGATGGTTAGTGCTCTGAGTGATGGAGAAAAATCTGGTGCCCCAGGACATGGCAGGTCGGAATAGAGATTTGATGGGGAGGAATCCAGTTTAGATGCTGTTTAAATTACAGTCCAGTGACAGATAATAAGGATGGAATTATGAATCCCGAATTTTAAAGAGTGTTTAAAAGTAGAGTCAATATGATTTAGCACGCAAGGATGAGTAAGACGATGAATTAATCCTGATGCTGGGTCTCTAAGTCTGAGTGACTGGAAGTGTGATCGAACTGATGAAATAAAGAGGTCAGAGAAAGAACCAGACAACTCCTAATAAATGGCCTTAAGTTTGTATTAAATAAAGAACCCTTATTTTTTATCTGGAATTACTGTAAAATGAAGAATTATTGCTAGCAGAATGAGATTCTGGACTTTATTGGCTGACAGATCTGAGGCTGCACAGGAATCTTGTCTCAGTCGTTAACTTGGGTTGACTTGTTTGTATTGTTAACCTTGAGTCAGTTGTTCAATTTCTCTGAAATTTAGTGTCTTTTTCTGGAACAACATCCTTATGGATATGAAGAACCTTATATCCTGCATAATATTGATAATAACTTGTATATTTATGTATAAAGTATTGAATTTTCATATAATTTATACATTTATTCAGACTGTAAGACATTCTTATAAATATTGGTTTATGTGTATAAACAATGTAAAAATAATTAAAAAACATAGAAATATCCCTTATATATAAATATTAGTAATTCTTTTCTTGCAGATATTTCTGACTTTTACATGGTTAAGTGAATGGTATGGAAATTATATGTAATTATTCGTGAGAACTGGACTTTCGGGCACTTTACAGTCTGAGTACTGTTGGACCTGCTTTTTCCTTACAATTGCATTTTTCATAGATGGTTGAATAATTTCCCTTCAAGCCCGTTTGTGGCATCACTCTTTATTTTTTCCTTTCTTAATCATTTTCCATTTTCTTTCTTTTCTTCCTTCCTTCAAACCTTATCCTGTCTTACTTGCCCACTCCTTTACCTCTGTCTAGCCCTGCTTGGATTTACCACGCCCCTCCTTTTAAAGATATCCTCCCTATGTCCTCGCATCAGGGGCACCAAGCACAGAAGAACATTGTCAGCTGTTTAATAACCCCCTTCACCAGTAAATTCATGTATTGAACAGATGGACTCTGGGTTCCACGTTGCCTGCTTTGATGTGTTCTCATCAGTCTTCACGTCTCTTGTAGTTTTGGAGAGCACATTCCGGAGTTCTCCACCAGTTCCCCCACTTCGTGTAAGCCACATTTTTATTGGCTCTACTGTCTTAGATCATCCATTTTAGATAAATGTGTTTTATCTCACCCCAAGTGACACATAAGAATGAAAGATTTTTATCCTCAAAGTGCCAGACATGCATACCATTTTTTTCTTGTTTTTACTGCTTTAGTTGGACACTGCTCTGCAGCTCTACTGTAGAGACTGA